TGCCAGAAGTACACCCTCAGCTTTATAGTGATAATGTTTATGCCTGAAAAAAATATATTCTTAAAAATTTGTCTAATGTCACTTGGCCAACCAAACTCCTAGTTTCTGGGGCTTGAGCGGACGATTTAACCATATGACTTTTTAGTTGATTATTTTCCTACAACCACAACTGTAGGATAAAGAAGTAATTTAAGAATAGGTAAAAGACACAACCATTCAACATAATCCATGTTTTCTGGTTAACACTATGGAAGCTTCACTTTGTTGTTCAGTCGCACAGTCGAGTCCGACTCTTCGCGACCCCATGGACCAGCTCCCGCCAGGCCCTCCTGTCTCCCGCTGTCCTCTGAAGTTGGCTCACTACTACTGTGAAATACCAATACACATTTGAAAATTGGTTAACAAATATTACAAGTATTAGCAAATTTATTTTACTGTTCTGAGATTATAAATATATTTTAATTTTAACAGTTCAGTATCTTCTATCTAAAACTGAAGGAAGCGCCGTGACCTGAATAGCCCAGGCAAGCCAGATCTTGGAAACTAAGCAGAGTCAACTCTGGCGAGTACTTGCATGGGAGAACTCCTTGGAATACCAGAAGTTGGGGGGCAGGGGCAGGCTTCATTCAACCACCTCTCTGAATATCCTCCAGGCCCCCAGTAGGGGTCAGTCACCAGAGTTCACCATGACTTCCAGGTGCATGTGCACAAACACATACACACGAAAAATACAAAATAAAAATAAAAATCCCCCCAAAACAGAAGGAAGGTTGGACTCTCAAAAGCTCATACCCTGAAAATCTTGTTGGTCTCTAAGCTGGACTCAAAACTAGCTCTTATTCTGCAGACCAACACAGCTACCTTCCAGAAACTATCTACAATGGAAGAGGATATTCACTTCTTCACTGTCCCAGTTACAGATCCGTAATTTAAAGAAAAAAATCAAGATTTTCTCCTTGACAATGAAAATACAAAAGTAGCTGCCTTTGTTTTAGCATAAAAGTTGAAACAACTTTGTTAGCATTCTTCACATGGATCAATGTGATGCCATGTACCTTGAGTTTTGCCAAGGAACTTTGTTCCTGTGCCAATTATAAGTTATTTTTGCTCATTATGATTGCATCCATTCCTCTGATGACTAACTTGTTTCTAACGTCTCATGGTCTGTAGCAGAAACAAACTTAACTAATCCATATAAAACTACTTTTAAAGCCGATTACGGCTTACTACAAATCATACATTGGATTCCTGAGAAGCAAAACCTAAATACTGTAATGCATGAGTAATGAAAAAAAGAAAATTACTGATTTTAAATTAACTACTTAGAAAATATGTTGAAATTCTAGAGGATTGTATCGCCTTTCAATAATCTAATACTTAGCTCGATTGCTGACTTCTTCAATCTGCTTTTAAATACAACCAAATTCATTTTTTACCCTATTTATTTATTCTTTATTGCTTACCCAGAAGACACCATGGCCATGGATTCCATCCAGGGGAAACTTTTTTATACCCAATAAGATACATATCTCAGGATTGAACATTAAGAAATGGGAGTTTTTTGTAGGGCTTCAAGATTGTAAGCACTAAAGTAAATCAGATAAAAAATTCATTTATTTACTTGCTTCATTTATATCATGCCTTTCTTCCTAGTAGGGACCAAAAGTATCTTACATTGTCCCCCTCCTCCATTTTCTTCTCACCACAGCCCTGTGAGGTAGGTTAGGCTGAGAGTGTGTGACTGACCCAAATTCACCCAGTGAGCTTCCATGGCACAAGTGGGGTGTGAACCTCGATTTCCCAGGTCTTAGTCTGGCACTCGAACCACTATACCATACTGCGTATAAAAAGAGCAGTCTTTTTTGGCTAGGTTAATACCCACCGATCTCACCCTATACATGATAACATTCACTATAGAAAGTTTCAGGAATTTATCCTACAACTAAAAGACTGGGTGGGAATTCAGATTCCAAGGAAACCGCTCCCTCTTATCTCAGTTGGCAGTGAGACGTGAGATGCTGAGCTTCCTGCATCAATGTCCTTAGTTAACCCAAAGTCCTAGTTTCTATAGGTAACCGTAGCAACCTGAATTCTCTTAGCAAGGGTCTATTTAGCTGGTTACAACACACACATCTTGCCTGAAGTCGCATCTTCCATCATCTGATGTCTTTTTTAAACAAGCATATTAATGTCCCATGTCCCAAAGGGAAAAGATAGGTATTTTCCTTTGTTAAAAATAAATTAAAACAATAAAATGGGAAAGGATGGTAGAAACAAAGATATCATAACAATATGATTGGTTACTTGGGTTACAATTATACAAGAACCAGCTCTGCAAGCCTCCAGTAGAGGCTTGAGTGCAAAGCTGTGACATGTGTGTCAAAAAGACAGATCCAGTCACTAGTATCATATAGAACGCCAGCTTGCCATTCCAAAGGACTGTCATAGTAGCATGACACCTCTAGTCACCATTTAAAGCAAGAAGCCACAACTGCCAACTTTTACCTCTGTAGATTGCAAAAACAGTAGAACACCCTTCAAAGTCAGACATGGCTGTCTTAAGGGATCTTTTCACCTTCTGCTGTTTGTTTTGCCTTGTTTAAGGATAACTTTAAGAATTCAGACCTTATAACCACATGTACCAACAGTCCACCAATGGAAATGCACATGAAGCTGCCCTATACTGATTCAAACCCTTGGTCAGTATTGTCTACTCAGACTGGCAGTGGATCTGCAGGGTCTCGGACTGAGATCTTGCACACCATTTACCACCACATCCTTTTGAAACTGGATTAAAACTGGGACCTTCTGCATGTCAAACAGATTGAAAAGTACTGAGACTTACTAGTGAATTCAGCTCTCATACTTTATTAGGTGAAGAACAAGACAAAGTTACCGGCTCGCAGGCTGGCTTATATGTGCAATCAAACCCACACCCAAAACAAACCCCCACACCAGTGATAGGTTATTTACAGTGGCTGAGAGTTCCATAGGCTCTCGGCTGGGAGCCTAGCCCTCTGGTTGGTGTGGGCTAAGATCCGCTTGGCCCAATTATCTCTTGGAGCGAAGCTCAGCCGCTTTGCATGACCACGTGTAGACCTAGCCTCGCACGCAGTCGGAGATGAGTACATTACACAGATGCTCTACCAGTGAACCACAGCCCCCCCATGTGCACTACCTCCAACGCTTATGACACACATAGCAGCATTTTGTGTGCAAGGCAACAGATGAGTTTTCTGTGTACATACAGCTTTGGTGCACATTTCACATGTTTTCTCACATGAAATTGCAACTGTGCATAGTGGGAGCATAGAGGGTAGTACAAACTCCTGCTGGTGGGCTCCTGGTATGCATGGTTGTAATGTCTGAAAAAGATTTATAGACACTGATCCAAAATTATAGTGAGGACAAACTAAAGAACTCATGGACTTCTGGGTTCCGGCTGTGTGTAACCAGGCATTTACAGGCTGTGCTCTGGCTTAGGGGAGTATTGTTTTAGCTGATTTTAATTAGTTTTAGTTTTAAATAGATTTTACTTTTATCTTGCTTTTAACTCTCCCCCCTCCCTTTGGATAAGGGGGGAGAAAGGAGAAAAAATTATTTTTCTCTTTTTATAAGTGAGAGGCTCTGATAATAAGCTATTTATTCACAGTGTCTAGTTAGGGATCCAATAATAGATAATTTACTGTTTCTGGAACCTCCTTTCTCCTGCTTAGTCCTACTTTCTCTCTCTCTCTTTTTTCTCTGTAACGCAGGTGAAAGATTTATTGGCTTTTGGTGGGAAGTAGGGTGGGGTCCGGAGGGCGAGAGAATAGCTCAGTCCTGCCTCTAACTATTTATGTTTGCTACATTACACACTTTTATAAATTGTATAAATAGGGAGAATGGAGAAAACCTTATATAGATTTATTTAAACAGCTGGTCATTAGATAACGGGTGGTGCAGTTTTTATGCAGGAAGCTATAATATAACTTCTCTTTCTCATGTGTATTCTAGTTTTCCTCTTAAGATTGTTTTAAATTTATTAAAGCTCTTTTCAGTGGTCTTAGCTGCCCCATTTTAATCTAGGGCTAATTTGTTGTATTTTGATTATAATGTACAGATTTATATTAGTGTTTAATTAATTGGGTAAAAAGCGGCCCCGCCAATTTGATGATGATTTTAGCATGAAACCAAAACAAAGCAAACTAGGTAACTTTGTAATTACTGCTTCTCCAATTTCTTTAAAAAATAGATTTGACCCTTTAATGTTGCAGAGCCATGTGGAGGCTGAGGAACTTGACAGCTCTCACTCTTTGAACCAAAATGATTCGTTTATCTCAAAGGGAAAGATTATATGGTAATTTCAGATGAGAAAAAGAGCTCATGCTACGAATTGTATACAAGAAACAATGCCATCTCCACACAAGGAGCCTTTTCAACATTAGTCCTAGATTAATCAGTGCTTATTTATTTACTTCACTGATACGCCAAGAAGAAGACAGGGAAGGGCACATAGGCAAGTGCAGGCATCTGGTGGCAGCAGCCCCCACCAGAAGCCCTGGGGCCTGGCCGCTGCCCCAGCTCAGGGTATGCTGATGCCAGCCCTGCACACCATAGGCGATTTTTTTAAAAGTATTGTTCTGCTGAAGAACAAAAGCTGTGGCTGACTGCCTTTTTAAGGAGACAGATATGTATAACCTCCAGCATCCATTTATACTGGCCTTCGGCAAACAACACTGTTACATGTGCTCCAGAGATCAACCCTCCTACACGGACACAAAGATCAAGCAAATTTCCCCCAGAGCTGTCTTGCAGCTTTGGAACATCACGTAGGAAGCAGAAGCATGAGAGTACAGTTAAACACCATAAGAGAGAAAGAAAAAAAAAGAAACTAATTTCAGAACTGAAACTACCTCCTTCCAGTACAACATACAAAAAATACTTGACTTTATTGCCATGGTAACATCCTCCCTCCCCCCTCAAGTGCTTTTCACATGATTTGTTTTTGATTCCTCCAGCTTTGTTGTTTGTCCTAGAACAAAATGGCCAAGGCTGTGGGACAGAAGAACCAGGGCTCTGTTCAGTAGCTGTGGGACAGAAGAGAGAAATCAGCTATGCAAGTGTTTGCTTTGTCTTCTGCAACTGGTAAGGCCCCACCCTTAACAAAATGTCAAAGTCGGCTCTGGACAACCTGTATATTTTTATACTCAAAATGTTTTTTGTGAGATGAACCAGGAACACAGCTATTACAACTGAAGGGAGGATGCGGGATAATCCAAAACAGGCATCGTCATACAGCCTTCACACTATGGCTCCTCTGCTTAAGTGCAAATTTCAGCAGGCTGAGTTTCGCATGTCACAGCAAGGGTCTGAAAAGCCACACCTGACAAAATTCCCTCATTTACACAACAGCTCAAAGTACAGGAGCCTTAATATTGAATGGCTGAGGGATCTTTGTCTAAAATTTAAAAACAAAACATTTGGCTGTCCTTTATGTCAAGGTTTATAAATAAGATTTTTCAGTTCTAAAGTTTTAAAAGCCTCACAGAGCTTCCTCTGGAAGACGCAAGGGCTAAAAGAGTGTAGTATTTCTAATCATGTTCCTTTTATTAGGTTGTATCTTGCTGCAGCTGGTTCAATAACCTTCCTGCTCTTCTAGTCATATAATACACAAACTTTGGCTTTAATTATTCATTTAGTACATTTGTATGCCACCTCTCCAGACCTGCTTTAGGCAACTCACAATTAAAATAATTTTAAACGCCTAATCAAGACAATGAAAAGAAATCAGTAAAACAAATAACACAACTTACAAACTGAATTCTATTATGTATTCATTCAGAGGAAATGTTTGGCTGTAGCTGATTGTTCCTTCAAGCAGACAGCTTCTCTTTTGTGCATCTTCTACCCTTTAGTGCTCAAAATAATCTTTAGGTAGCACTTAGGATCTTACTTGCAACATATTTACTTTGGAGAAGCCCACAATTTCAGCCTCTAGCTTCTTCATAGGATTAGAGTATGACCACTTTGAAGTCAAATGGTACTCCATAAAAAACATTATCATGAGTAAAAAGAATCCGGTGTCTGTTGAAAATGACAGTTGCTTTCATAGCTATAAAGGTGAACACTCTTGCACTTCTGCAATTCTTTTACGATATCATCACAGAAAATCTGTTTCAGGGATGTAAAATGAAACTAAGGGAAATGCAGAGAAACACTGAAGAATGATCAGGACTGGAATATGGCGATGACATTAACAAGCTTTCTCTAGCAAAACACGGGAGGGATTATAAATTCTTATAATATCAATTAGATCTCTCATATAAACAAAGAACAAAATAACATACGTAGCTACAGATTAAAACCTCAGAAAGGCCTACAGTAAAATTATATCAGTAGTTAGAAACTTATATAAATAGACTATTGCTAGAAAATACAGCTTATTCTTTAAAGTACTATTACATACAACACCCATATGAAAAAATCCATGTTGTGAAATTTCCACAGATTTTAACTCAAAAACAAGAGCTGTGTTTTGCAATATTTCTACCTTCTACTATCTGCACATTTGCAGACTATCAATCTGGTGATTTTTTCTGTTAATTGCTGCAGTCACCAAAAACATAATAAGCAAATTATTCAGAACATCTAAAGTATATAGTGACACACAGTGGTTTACTAGCTTCATGAAAAACTTAAGAACTTTTATTTTTGATCAGGTGCCTTACCAACAACTGTCCTTTACAATGCAGTAGAAATGCAAGTAATTGCTCTCAAAACCAAGATATCAAAAGTGTTTAGAGCATGAAAATTTGCCATGTATTTGTCACAAGAGACTTTGGAAATTTCTCTCAGTGTTTTATTCTCCCATAATGTATGATATCATCAGCTAAGCAAAGATTCAGTAGTTATACATGACTCAATCTTTATAACTCAGGTACTTTTAAAAAAAACAAAGACTAACAATCATTCTATAAATTAGTACAGTAAGGAGTTCCTGTTGCAATCCTGCCCACCCATTCTCAGAAATCTAGGAACATTTGCAAGGTAACTATTTTGTAAGTATGGAAGTTTAGCAAAGTTCACGAAGCAGACTGTTTTGGCTTCAAATGTTTGAAAAAATGCAATACAAATAAAATTTAATGTACATTGTACATAGTAACCACAATCTGATACAACATTTAAGTGTACTTAAGCCCATCACTTCTATATGGATTGTGGCCAACACAACTTTTCACTGAATTCAATCAACGGGACTCCGAACATTCACATTTCCTCTGTTGTATAATGTTCAAGAAGTTATAGTTTATTATAAATATTAATATACACAATAGTCTTTCCTGAAAGTAGTACACTTGTAAACTCAGATCTATGAAATAAGCTCAAAGAAGAATCCACTGTATGTTACAGAAACTACTCATAAAAGTTTATGGTGTGTGTGTGTGTGGGGAGGAGTATAACCACTTTTCCCTTCTTACAGACCAAAGCGTCCACAGTTCCCCCCCATAAAACAGTGAACTCCATTAATCAAGAAAACTAAACTTCCAGTGGCATCTACAAAGTCTGCCTCATGACAGAAGTCTGAAGTAATAATCAACAAAGGCCTGGAGATAAGCAACAAAAGCCCGCAAAAGTAGTCCATGGTCTATAACAGCACAGTGCCACAATCAATAAGGTTTTAATACTATGGAGGAAGAAGTTTTCTTAACACTCCAGGCCTACACAACCCTACTTCTGGAATTTGGTTTCATGAATCAAGATCCCCCCCCCCCTTGGTATATGTCAACAAAATGTACAAAAACTGACCTAGCTGACTGGGGTTTTGCTGCAAGCTCAGAATGGTCATACAAATGAAAAAAAGAAATCGGATGTAAAATCAAACTAACTTTGTTGTTAAAGATTTAGCAATGTAGCCAACCAGAACCATTTGAACCAGTTATATATTGTTGGTGCTATTTAGGTACTTTTAATAAATGTAATCTTTTGTAAGATAAAGAGCTACAGAGGGGAACTCCAAGTGGTCTGTTAGGCACAGGCCTTAAGAACCTCTTAACACTTGGCTAAGAAACAGGAATAAATAAAAATCTTAAGCATACTTCATTCATTGTAAATGTTATTTCATTCAAGGAACAATCCTGCCTAATATCATGGGATTTTATAGAGTTTAAGGAAGTCTATAAAATGTTGTCTATTAATATTGTTTATGAGTATGTTTATTAGTTTTTATTGTAAAAATGTTTGGTCTAAGTTATCTTGTAATTATATGTAAAGCGTTTTATATTGGCTGTTTGTAAGTTTGGCTTACAACCTCTGGTCAATGAAGCTAATAAATGAAAGGAAACGAACTATCCTGCCTTTTTTCTTTCAGACAGGCCAAATAAATGCAAAGTTCTAAGTTTTATCGGGGGGAAAGAACGTTGCAAAAGCCAATATGTTATAATGGGAAAAGCTCACTGTGCACAGCTCTCTCTTTTTCAAAACAGTCCAAGAAAGTCATTCTCAGGATGTACTTTAGGAAAAAAAGGGAGCTGTGGTGGCTCAAGTGGTTAAGACGCTGAACTGCAGGCTGTGGAAGGTCGGTAGTTCAGCAGTTCGAGACCCGGGTGTGCCGCATGACGGAGTGAGCTCCCGTCTCTAGTTTCAGCTCCTGCCAACCTAGCAGTTCGAAAGCAAGAAATTGCAAGTAGATAAATAGGTACCACTTCAGTGGGAAGGTAACAGCGTTCTGTGCACCTTGGTGTTTAGTCATGCCGGCCACATGACCACAGAAATGTCTTCGAACAGCGCTGGCTCTTCGGCTTTGAAACGGAGATGAGCACCGCAACCCTAGAGTCGGATTCGACTGGCTTTCGAGCAAGGGAACCTTTACCTTTACTTTAAGAAAATCACCCAGGACAGAGTATATCATAAGATATTCAGGATAGTTATGTCACTAATTTTGAAATAAGACTAACAGATATAAGAACAGTGCGAAACTCATGGGATTCCAATGCCTTTAAAAAAATTATTTGCCTTGTTATTTATAGTCTGCCTTTCTCACTAGGACTCAAGACTTAACCTCAAGATGAATAACAATGATACAAATTTCTGCACCTGACAAAGTCAAAAGAATTACCTTTGAATGGACATTGCTTGTTTCTCCTGTATCTACAGACAGTGCAGTAGTTTATATCATTTTTTTGAAATGAATTTTGGGACACATTAGTGACTAACATGCAATTCCATGCAGATTTACTAGTCTAAACCCACTGAGACTGAAGTAACTTTGCATAGGATTGCACTGTTATTATGGAATCAGTGTTTCTGGACCTTGTATTGCATTCCCCCAGGGGATGTCACAGGTCCTCTACACTTAGCAACCTAACACGGCAATCCTAAAAAGACTTTCCGGAGAGTAAACCCCACTGAATAGACCTAGTAGGATTGAGCAGGGTTTAGGATTCCTCTGTTAATTTTTTTTAAAATTTTAAATCTGGTCTTTCCATTTTCAAGTGCTCATTCAGCCCGAGTGATTTCTGGCCTACAGGGACTTCAATCAACACGATACATTTCCGCAAGGGCAGAACGACAGCTCTGTCGCATATCTGCCCCGTCTCTCTCTCTTTCTCTTGCCATAAATAAATAACTACAAATTGATCTGGCAAGCCAGATCCCACAGGGATCAGCAGGAGGCAGAGACAGGGAGCGCACCTTCCCAGCTTAGCGTGCAGGCTGGCCTGGAAGGGTGGGCGGCGCTTCCGCGCCTCTTGAACCGCTTACTCGATTTGCATCACAGCGCCGACATTGCCTCGGCAACTGCAGCCGAGAGCCAGCCAGCAGCCCAGAACAGAACGTTTTCCTCCGCGGAGGAGCGGAGTGTTGTCTCTCCCCCCCCCCCCCCCCCCAAGGATGCACTGAGCCTGCTCTTTCTAAGCGGTCTTAACTGGGTCACTCACTGCCCGTGAGAACAGTACCTACTCCCGTTCCCGTGATCACTCGGCGACCACCAGCAACGCCACCGAATACTCCCCCCCCTCCCCGCAAGAGCAATCCGGAAGTCGCTCGTCGTGGTTGACGAAAGAAATGAAATGTGGGAGCTCGCTTGGAATGTCCTTGCGCTAGGACCGGAGCCAGCAGCGGGCAAGAAACCACGGGCACATCTGGGGGAATGGTCCTGGCAACCTCCGGAGGGCTGCAAACAAAATCCTCAACCTCGCTAACGCAACGATTCAGCAGCATTAGCAAAAATCCTCCTCTGAGAGGCCAGAGCGTGGCGACTTTACCTCCCAGATCGGATTCATTTGTCGCTCACGTTAACCGGTCGAGGGTGTATGTATCCCACAAGATTAAAAACATACTCCAGATTCATTCGGATTCTCATTCCTACAATTCTCCTTTCCTCCACCTGCATGTAATTTCAGATATTGCTTCCCTCGTAATAATTAATCTGCTGTTACTTCTTTGCCTGCCAGTTTGTTGCAAGCCTTCAGCGCTAACATTTAAACACGAATATCGCCTGGTGACTGCAAATGCAGCACAGGGGATATATCATATATATTATATATTTAGTCTACTTGCCTCTTTTTTTTTTTTTAGCTGGCTCCCTCCTCCGTCCTGCAATGCTAACTGCGTCAGATAGTGAGCAAAGAGCACCTTTCCCGTGGCCGCCTACTCGCTGTAATCCTTCCTGAATTTATTTTTACGTATGTCCACGCGTGGAGGCGAAAAAGGGCACCACTTGTAGCCAGAGAACTTCCTGCCTCCCACCATTCTCCGGGAGTATTTGTTTCAGGAACGAATAAGTGCAATGGAAGCTCCTTGGCTTTGCTATTGGACATGCCTGATACACCTCTGCATTCTCATTGGCTGAGGAAAAAGGAGGAAAAAGCCGGCTATTTGTAAATAGACTCATGTCCAAGACTATCTGTCCCACTTCAAATATTAAATGTTAACACAGAAACCTAGACAAATAGTAAAAAGGAAAAAGAAAAGAAAAACCCTTCTCTCCTCCTCCAGGGTTGCCAATGCCAGGCTGGGGAAAATCCTGGAGATTTGGGGGTGCAGCTTGGGGATGCCAGGGTTTGGGTAGGGGAGGGACCTCAGCAAGGCATAATGCCATAGTCCACTCTTCCTGGCAGCCATTTTCTTCAAGAGAACTGGTCTCTGGACAAGAGATTGCCAACTCTGAGTTGGGGTATTCCTAGGGATCTGGGGGTGCAGTCTGAGGAGGGCAGGGTTTAGGAAAGGAAGGAGCCTCAGCTGAACGTAAGGCTAGGGAGCCTGACCTGAAGCTGCCATTTCATCCAGGGGGTCTGATCTATAGAACTGTTGTAATTCTAGGAAGTATTTGGGCCCCACCTGAAGGTTGGGAGCCCTACCTCCTGCCACCTCAGTAATTATAACTGCAGCTAAATATGGAACCTGGTCTTAGTTTCTGTTTTGGTTCCAGAGACGATGTGTTTGTGGATCATTACGCTACAACCTATACCACAAAATCCCATGGAGGTTTTAACGCAGAAGTGAAGCCTAGTTCTCACTGAAGTGGTAAATTTATGTCTGGAAGGTACCATTCCAGCCAGAAGGAAATGCTCACAGTGACTGAAAGCTGATGACAGATTACAAAGTCCACGAGTCGGTTATGTGGATACTATATGGATTTTGGATCAGATGCAAGTTTTGGAGTTTTGTGCTGGGGATTTAATTCTCAGTTCCCAGACATGCAAAGAGAAGGGAATTAAGCCTCTTCCCACCATGTACATGTATGTATACTGACAGTTACTCCTAGCTGAGGTATCTGAGGAAGTATGCTTGCACACGAAAGCTTATACCGTGAATAAAACTTTGTTGATCTTAAGGGTGTCACTGGAGTCAAACTTTGTTCAGGTACTCCTGCATTTTCCCGGTGTGGCAAACTGTGTGGGGGCTGACTTAAGACCCCTCTCCTCATGTGCAATGGCTTTAATCCAAATCAGGACCTAGCATGCCTCAAGACTCAGTTCCCAGCATGGAACTCCAGACATGGCTACCACATGGACTTTGTAACATTAATCAGCACTGAGTGTTCCTCCATAGAAAAATATTCCCTGCAGTTAAGCAACAGGAAGAAGCTGAGACCCCTTTTCTATAACATCTAGTTGTTTTATTCATAAAGAAATCTTTTTTGTATTGAGCAGCATTCAGTGACATGAGCCCCCACCAGTACTATAAAATATTACTGGACAGAACTTGGTGAGGGCTAGCCAGTTCCCCATATGGCTTTCTCCTGGATAAATGTGGATGTCCTCCAGACTGTCTTAATACTCCAGTTTGATTTCCCTTTGTTACCAGTGTTTTTTTCCTTGTACACAGCTTTGTCAGCAATCCCTTGTTGTCCCAGTTTCTGTATATTTTTTTGCTGCTCTTTCTGAAACTTGTTCTCCTCAGTCTTTTCCCCCGAAATGGCTTTATTTGGGGGGTTTGCCAGTCTGAAAGACCTGTGCCATTTTGTAGTGCATGTACCACCTCACCATTTTGTCTTGGGACAGGATGTGCAGTGATTCCTATATTTTTTTAAAATGCAGGCAAACATTTCAGCAGGCCAGTGGTAGACTGTGCATGCGCTGAACAATCTAGGATTGCCAGGTCCCCCATGGTCACCGGTGGGGAAAGGGGGGGAGGTAGGACTGCCATATCCAGGTTGGGAAACTCCTGGAGATTTGGGGATGGAGTCTGGGGAGGACCGGGATCTCAGTGGGATACAATGCCATAGAGTCCACCCTTCAAAGCATCCATTTTCTCTAGGAGAACTAATCTTTGTAGTCTGGAGATGAGCTGTAATTCCAGGGGATCCCCAGGTCTCACCTGCAGGCTGGCATCCCTAGAATGAACCATCATGGCCAATCAGAAGGCCCCAAACAAGCAGCCAATCATTGCCTTGCTGCCACATGCAACTTTAGAGCACATTTATTTATTTATTTATTTGGATTTATATCCCACCCTCCCGTTAATGGGCTTGAGCACCATGCCTGGGCACTATTTTCAAATTCTGTGTGCAGTGTAGGTGGGTGAGCCAAAGCAGCAGCAAAGTAACCAGCAGCCCAACAAGCCCTTGCAGACAGGCAAGCTGAGGTGTCAGTGGGGGAGCCAGCAGGCTGACAAGCCCCTTGTGGGCAGGT